TTCTTCTCCTACCAAAAAGGAGCCCTTCCCCCATAGGGTCCTATAGGTTCAATACATGATGGCTATGTTATGGCTAATATTTCAAATAATTAGAAATGCAGATGGCTAGTGTTTTCACAGTCCAAAGTTGTTCCTGGGAAAGGAAGACAGGAAGTCAGAGACCCTCGGAAGAAAAAGGAAAAAGCAGTGAATGGTTGGCAGAGAGCATCACACACCTCCCTCTGGGGACGGGGTTGTCAGGCAATATTCACACTCTTCCTGAGATTTCTAGCAACAGCAATGCCCAAGTTCTTCCCCAGGCACTTCAAATCACAGAAAAGGCTTGTGTGAGGGTCTGTGCTAGAAAACTGCACGAGTAGGAACAAATGTAGCACTTTGCTTTATCCAGGCAGGTTGCCCTTCCCTAAAAGATAAGAAGATACCCAACCCAAGTGTAATTCCTTCCTGTCTGTCCTGGAAATGCATTTACCATTTTCAAAAACAAAACAAAACAAAACAAAAAAACTGGCCCTGAATAATTCATTATTCAAAGGAAACGCCAGCCCAGAGTGCTTCACTCCATTTATTCTGACATAAGAGCTCATCTTGGGCTGTGTGTACATGTTTCTGAAAAGGATCCACATGAGGAATCGCTTTTTAAAATGTCGATATCCGAGAAGGCAAGCAGAGAGTTTAAAAGGGCCATAATTCATAAATCAATGACGCCACACACTCGTGAGGAAGAGTTCTGCATCAACTGGTCAACAATTCCATTTGCAGCCAGCTGAAACATCTGCGTCTCCCTGCGTCTCTAGCTAGGGCCCCAGGGCTGCTGCCCCACAATAATAAGGCAAGGTCTTAGGGACAATCAGAATCATATTCTTTGGGATTCAGGCATGGGGATGGGGGATTTCTGCAGATTTTATCTAAACCTATTAGTTTCTGTTAAGTGTCCCAATAACCAGAAGCAATGAAACAAGCAAAACAACAGCCATCTGAACGCTCATGACTCAGAGTCCTTTCTGCCTGGCTGTTTAACAAGTGGACAGTCTTAGTGTGAGACCCTGTCTTTGTTCCTCGACAAGCACCAGGTTTTTGGTGAAGCCCAGATCTTGGTTCCAAACCTATGGGGGGGCAGGGGTATATAAACAATTGTTGCCATTGTTAATGGTTCCTGATGGCCTCAATCAAAGCATGGTGGCTGGCCTTGATCACAGCTATAGAAACAGAGCTCCATACCTGGAATTGTCTAACTGCCTGGAGGTACACTTACACAGAACTCAAAGCAAGAGCATCAGAGAGAAAATCAGTTAGCCGAGGCTGCTGTTTAAAATTACTTTTTGACACAAACCTTACCAGTGCTAGAGGAAAACAACTTGAAGCTTGGATTCATCAGTAATTCTCACTGCAGAAGAAACAAGAGACAGAACACCTGTCAGCTCTCGGGCTTTCCAAAGAGCAGGGTTCAGGGAAGTCTAGGTAATATAATAATTTCCTCTTCCTTCTTCCTCTCCTAGCTTTCTTCCCTCCCCCTGAACTGTCTAATCAAACACAGAACACACAAGGGCAGGGGAAGCAAGAGAACAAGGGAGAAAGAAGAGCAGCAGCCCAGGAAACAGATGCAGAACCGGGACATTCAGAGCAGTACGTTTGCACCATTCCCTCGAATTCAACAAATAGGAAGGCCCCTCCGCAGCTCTCCCATGGCCAGCAAAGAGCTTTCCAGACATCTTGTCTATTGAACATCTCTTCTGTGCCCTGCTTAAATCTATTCTGAAACAAGAAAGGGTAAATAAATTCACTATGCCACCTACCATGTATTGACAAGATGAGTGTATTTATACCACAACAAGATGGTTGTATTTATAATAAGCATTGTCTTATGTAATCCTAAAAACAAACCTTGGAGAAAGAAACTATTCTTAAGCCCATTTTTCAAGGGGGGAAACCCAGGCATAGAAAGGTTAAGTAAATTGCCCCAAGTAGAAGTGGGACATGGGACATGAACTTGAGTGGCCAGGTGCCAGATGCCACCCTCAGCCAACATGCTGTCCTATGCATTAGAGCCAGCAGAACAGGCTGATGGAGATGAAGGGCTGGGAGGGGCAGTTTCTCTGGCTTTGTGTTGCTTGGGGTAGTGATGGGAATGGCTAGTGACAATAACTTAACTTTTACTGAGCACTTACTATGTGCTGTGGTTTCAGTTTGTCCTCACCAAAACTCATGTTGAAATTTGATCCTCAATGTGGCAGTATTGGGAGCTGGGGCCTTATGGGAAGTGTTTGGGTCCTGAGGACAAATCCCTCATGAATAGATCAATGCCTTCCCTGGGGGTGAGGGGTTCTTGCTCTGGTGAGACTGGACCAGTTCCCACAAGAGTGGGTTTTGCCTCTTCGCTGGTGTCTGTTTCTTCCTTGACCTTCTGTCATGCTGTGACACAGCACAAAAGCCCTCATCTGAAACCGAGCAGGTGCTGGCACCATGCTCCTCGAACTTCCCAGCCTGCAGAACCGTGAGCTAAAATACCTCTTTTCCTTGTCAATTACTCAGCCTTGAATGTTCTGTTAAACCAACACAAAATGGACTAAGACACCATGTGTCCATTAAGCACCACCAGCAATGTGGTCATTTACAACACCCTATGGAATGGGGCCATTATCCTCATCCTATGGATAAGAAACTGAGGCGCAGCGTGGTCCTGCGGATTGAACACTCTCAGGCCAGGATTCCCACCCAGACAGCTGGGTCACAGCCTGTGCTTTAAGCATCACGCTCTGCTGGAGCTGCAGCCAGCAGTGGGCATCTGAGCCTCAGTGCTCCTCCAGCTGACGTCAGCAACAAAGCCACGCGCACACTAACCTCACGGCAAGAAAAGGCCATCTTAAAGCAAAGTGCAACCACTTTGCGCAGCTGCCCACAAGATTCTGAGGTGAAATAAGCTATCGGGATTTTATTCAGTGGGTATTTAGTCAGGCTTCTACTTGGTTACTCAAGATCAATTGATCCCAATTTTCAAGAAAGAAAGGAAAAGAAAGGATAAGGGAGGAAAGAAAATAGGGAATTATTGCACCACAGCCTAATGCTGATTCTATCAGCCCAAAGCAGAGGCTGAAACTAGAAGGCAGTGAAGCCTGGTGGGCGCAGCCTGGGCCGAGGCCTGCCCTCTGCACGCCGTGGGGAAGGGCTCTGGCTGGGATCTCCACCTACTTGCCACAGCCTTTCCCCACCAGAAGCCAGAGAGCTGGACGTACAACTCCTGGAGTCTTTTCCACCTCTAGTGTCCTGTTACTCTTAGTGGATTTCAGTCTTTTGGCAGCCGAAGCCTTTTTACCAGAAAGCTAATGTCTAGAAAGGTCATAAGGGAGCTGATCAGGAGGGAATGAGGGGGTCGGCAGAGTGTAGGTCACTCTCCTTCCCCACAGGCCCTACGACCAGCCAGAGCCGCCTCTACAAGCCAGTTCAGAAGCCTCCACACTAATCAAACCTTCCCTTTGTCACTGCTGCTGTAGACTGTGGGTTAGAGGGGCTGGAACATTCACCTGCACTGTCTCCTTGTCAAGGTCTGGAGGTGCTGGCCTGACCTTGCAGGAGGCACAGGCACCTTTCTAGACGTCTCCAATCAGGTCCAGGTCTCCAGTCTCTGAGAGCTGTCTGACACATCCCCCACCCCTGCACTACCACGAGCAGCAGGCCCACAAAATCATGCTGTCAGCTGCTTGGTTAGAGAATCCACAGCCTTGAAAACTTCTCAGGATTATGCAGAGATACAAAGTATATTCACAAGTCAACTTCCCAGAGCATAGGACATCCCTCCTCAAGCCCAACAGCCTTCAAAAGTCTACAGAAGATGAAAAAGGAGCAGACAAAAGGGAAGGGTTACCCAAGGTTGCAAGTACAATGGGCAGAGCGCGTGTAAATACTGGACTGGCCTGTGTGCTTTGGATTCCCTGATAGAATGGCCATTTCCTGCAGCCCCACTTCCTCTCATTGTATTTCAGTGGAACAAAAATGTTATAGTGAGCGGCCGCTCAGTCACACAGGTTATTTTAATAGATACATCCTACAAGCCCTGAAAACCTGCTCTAGGCTCTCTGATAACAAGGCTAAAAATATCACAGGCCCTATTAGCGAATTTGAGAATCCAAATCAGTGAGATTGGAACACACGTGTGTGTTTTTGTCAGCACATCCTGCAAGTATTCCCATGTGCTGCCCGGCTCGACACACTCACATGTTAGCTCTCCCCCTGGATCTCAGTGAAAACCACTGCTCTCATGCAACCCTGGAGATGCCTGTGCTGTTGTTTTATCTCCTCAGCGTCTCTAGTTCAGCTGTACATTCCATCTGAAGGCTGCTCTCGTTTACGTATATGTGCATCTTTGCAAACACAAACGTGTGCCATAGATAACACTGAAGGGCTAGTTACACAAGACCTGTATGTCCAGATACAGCCATCACCGAAGAGCTGATCTTCCACAAACCATTTGTGAGCGCCCACCAGATCTGTGGTTGAGGCTGCTCTCGAGACGTCCACTCTCGGGACCAGAGATAAGTTTGGTGTCCCAGATGTTTGATCAAAGCTCTTCTTCCCTTCACTATCACACCAACATGAACAAACACTACCCTTTGGATGTTAGATTTGTAAAGCTAAAGAGAAAGGTTTGTCATTATCTTCAAAAAGACACTGATACATTAAAAAAGAAATTTCCAAGCCTCTCAGAAAATGTAGATTGACGAACATCAATGTTACGGGCAAAATATCTTAAAATGGTAATTCTCAGCCTGGAATGTTCATTGGAAATGCCTGCCGGGGGTATTTTCAAACCATCTATAGCCCCTTCAGGGGGTTTTCATGGGCAGCCCAGGTTTAGAACCACTGTCTTTGGGGAACACATGTCTTCAGGGTCTTGACATTGCAAGGGTCTAAATCAGTGGTTCTCGACCTTGCTTATATATTCAAATCCCAAGGAGATTTTTAAAAATACCAATGCCTGGGACTCATCCTCAAAGATTCTGACTTACTCGGTTCAGTGGGGCCAGGTCCTGGTACATGAATATTATGTGAATATTCAGCCAGAGTTGAGGGCCCCTGGTCCAAGTCACTGCCCTTCTCTGATTGACTTATTCTTGAACACGCAAAGACAACGAATCAGGAAATGTATCTTCATATATTTCTTCAGATCTCAAAATCCCAAGGACAGCACTACTTTGCCTAATGCAAGTAATAAAAGCATTTGAATAGACAATTAAATTTGATGTCGTGACGTCCCCATACATCCATTTCAGACTGAGTGTCCCTCGGGTCCCCATGAAGAACATGTTTCATTTCAGTGGATACACTGTTGAAACAAGATCATTTATCTGGTTTCTAAACCAACAGACAGCCAGTCAGAATCAAGTGAATCAGAAGTGATGGAGGGGCCAGGTAGAAAAAAGGAGACAGACTGTTAGAAGCAGGTCCCCTGATTGCAGTGAGAAGTGGATGCTAATAGGAAGAGACAGGAAAACCAAAATAAGCAGACACTGCACAGAAAAGCATTGAACTTAGGGTTCTTTAATGAAGGGACAATTACCTTGATGTACCCCAAATGACTCTGTGGACTCTGCATGGCAACATCATCACCAATACTCCTAGGAAAAGCCCAGAGTCACTAAGGACAAGTTAAATTATGCTCATTATAACCTGTTTATGCAGGCTGGAATATGTGTGATGACTTCCATCAAAAATAGTAATAATAAAAAGCAAGTGCAATTCAAGGGATGGACCTTTAGCTATTTGGAAATTGCAGCCACTCAGAATAACTCATTCCCTGAGGATTGCAGGTAGTCACAGTCTTCTATGGGAAACATTTTAGCAGGAACAGTTTCAACTTGGCCGGGAAGAAATTCCCCTCCCTCTCGGAGTCAGTACACAGTGAGGCCTGAGTAGGGGAGAATAATATGGATGATCCTGAGCCTCGAGGTTCCTGGGCACATACAAGGTACTCTGAACTTTCATGGAAAGCCTAAGATCAGACACAGCGAAGGAAGGCACAGGGACAGTAGTGAGAAGCCTCCTTGGCGAGTAGGACTGGAATGCTCTGGGTGGGCCTCTGATTAAACATACCTCCCCTGAACAAGGTCTCCAGGCCAGCAATTCCTCCCCGAGAATGTCATCCCTTGAGGCCATACATCCCACTCTCCAGACACTTCTTTCAGATGCAAGACCCATGGGATGAGTAAAACCTGAACTGCCAACACTTAGCCACTTTGTCAGGTCTCCTTTGTTTATACGATGAGGCCATTGTTTTAAATATTTTTCCCTTCTCCAGATGAAATCTTATCTAGAACCCAAATATACTACAAAGATAAAATGTGACACCCCAAGTTGAAGGGCTCCCAGCAGCAGGAGTCTTATCACTCTTCCCTCTCATCAAAGTCCCATGAAACATCGGTTAGGAAACCATTTGGAAAAGACCTGCCTGACCCCGTCACCCACAGCTGAACCACCCCTCCCACACCCCCCTATAGGCTCAGTCCCACTCTGTGGCCAGTGTTGCCCAGTGTTGATGGCTGGTCTGGATCCCCCTCAGCTGCTCCTCTGGCCAGGATATATGTGTGTGTCTGTCAGTCTGTCTGACTCTCTCTCTCTCTCTGTCTCTCTCATTACACTTTATTTGCTGAGGCTTTCTATTTGTTCTCCAAATCCATCCCAAACCTTATTCAGGTCTGATAATTGAGTTTTTTTGCTGGGAACCCCGTTTTGGCCAAGCTCCTAACTCTGAGCTGAGCTACCACAAAATCAAGTTGGGAAGCTCAATGCTCCCAACAGGGCCTCCAAGCTACAGCCAGGCTCCTCCCTGCTTGGGGGATGACACCTCACTGCCAATGGCGGCATGCAGATTTTCTCAAATATGCCAGCAGGTAAGATTCACTTAAAGGTCTCTATTCAATGTGCAGATTCCCAAACCCACAGGATCACAGTCTCCCATGGAAACACCTGGAGAACCCCAACTTTAACCAAAGGCTTAGGTGACTCACCTGGTCAATTGAGAAACACTAGCTTCATGGTCAACAGCAAGGATCTGGAACCAAACTACCTGGGTTTGAATCCAGGCTCTACTATCATGTGATTTTGTGCAATGTACTTAAGCTTTCTAGCCCTCAGTTTCCACACCTGTAAAACGGGTAACAATAGTGGCTACCTCCCTAGTTGTTGGAGGATTAGGTAGCCTAGAGGCCGCATAAAGCACTTAGAGCACATTCAGCACATGGTGAGCCCCAGGAAGGTTTCCTGCTGTTAGGTGACAATGAACTTAGACATTTGCCACCTTAGTCTTTGAATTCTCATGCAAAATACTCTGCCTTCCCAACGGAGCCTTCAGCACCAAGGCCTGGAGGGTGCTAAGGCCTGCCCCGTCCCTGGAAGAGGGGCCTGGCTGCTGCAGGTCTTGTTGAAGTGAATTAGGTAGCGCACAGATGGAAACTAAAGATAAAATGGCTGAAAGCAGATGCTAGGAGCAGCCAGAAAGAGACGGAGTGGGCGGGTACAGAAACGGAAGTCGGGGTAGGGAATACCAACTTCACTGATGTCGCAGTTTTCTTGGAACCACACAGATGAGGCGGTTAAACAGCAACTGTCACTTAAACTGTCTCTTTACCGTAACTCCTCCTGGAGGCGTGGGACGAATTCTGCTGTGTGGCCAGGCCGGGAGATGCAGAGACACTGGACGGGCCACCTGGAACGCCCAGCGTGCCCTGGAAGCCAGAAGGCAAGGAGCAGCACGCACCGTCAGTCAGTCACCGGGGAATGCAATGTTCCTCGCCACATCGTCCACTTCAAACAAAGGTCCCCAGCAGGTGTCTGTGGAAGGCCACAGGTGCAGGAAGAGAAGGGGACTCTATTCACCCCCACGACGACCCAGCAGAGCTGCGAGGCTGGCGGCCCTCAGGCAGCGCTGGGGCAGCTTGGCCATAACCTGTTAAAGGTGGCGGAGCCCTAGACGATGCTGGGTGTCAGCAACACGTGAGTACGGGGGTGGGTTCACCGCAACTTCCTGACCCCACTGTCTCCATCTCTCTCCAACAGACAGCGTGGTCCCCTCCCAGCTGCCCAGGGCTGCACGCCAGGCACAGGCCACCGTCTTGCTTCCTGGTGGAAATGCTCCCATCTGCTGTATTTCCTGGGCCTGGATTGACTTGCCTCCAGTTCAGCACAGATACCCTAACCCGACAGCCATCTCTCCATGCCACTGGCTCTGAGGGGAATTGTCACCATGAGGTTGAAAAACAAAACCAAATCCCCAAGGGGTGCCCAGTAAGAAGAAGAGAATGTTTTTTCAGAAAGAACCTCTCGTCTGTCCCACGGGGGTACCCTGAAGGTGTAACCCCCATTCCACCAGCATCTCTCAAGCTTCTCCAGTTTTTACCACACCACCTCAGTTTTCACCGTGTATAACCACCACTTACGTTTCTTTTTTCTTGAAAAAATTTTATTTTTAAGGAAAAAATATAACATCACTTAAGAAAACTAGTATGATTGGCCATAAATATTTGTAATGCAATAAAAACAAAATAATATTATTCCAAGGCCTTCAGCCTTTGTTTAAAAAGGGAGAGAGATCTTAATGATACTCTGGCCTCTGGCCCCACCCAGAGAGTTTCTTCTTGATATGAGGACTGAAAGAAAATTAGAAGAAAGAGAGGAAGAGTAACTTTGTGTTTTGAGATATAGTTGTATGCAGTGCAATCCCCAGATCTCAAGTGTATACTTCACTGAGTTTGACAAATGCCTACACTTGTGCAGCCAACACCCCCACAAATACAAGGAACATTATTATTATCCCAGAAAGTTCTTTTCACCCCTTCCCAGTCAAGTGCCCTCAATCAGAGGCAAACACCGTTTTTATTTCTATCCCTATAGGTTACATTTTTCTGTTCTTAAACTTCTTATTATTGGCTTAGGGGAATGGCTCTGTCATTGCTAAATCAAAGTTCTGCTCATGTTCAACTTTTGTAAGTGTTTGAAAATTTTAATAAAATGTTTTTTAAAAAAAAGTTATGGGATGCCCTGTCCACACTTAGGTTACCTAAAATCTTCTCTGGATCCTCTAATGGGATGAGACCTACAATTTGGGACACCTTGAACTAATGAAATGGGAGAACAGCACATTAAGGAAATTGGATTCTGACTCTGAAAATCCCAACGTGAAGCTGGTGATAGCACTGATTTGATAAATGTTCTTTTTCAATTCTCAATTAATCTGATTATCTTTTAAGCTCCCCAAAAGGAAATCTTCTCCTAGATGAATAGCCCTTCATAAGTCACACAATTCTTCCTTCTTCTTCTTTGGTAGGTTCGGGTCCCACCTCACCTGCAGGTGGCCCTCACGGCCCCTGGACCTTGTCCACACTGCACCCTACACAGGGCCCTCAGCATCCTACCCAAATCCAACGTCTCTCCTCTCCTTCAAATTCGAGCTCATAACACAGCTGCACTCACATTTTTTGCCCTGCATTTTTCCTTTTTTTAAAATATGAGTATACCTTATCTCTTCAACTAGATTCTGAGCTCCTTGAGGGCAAGTGCTGAATTATCTTGACATCGGTGAAAAGATACTGGAGATACAGCGATACCAGTGGGTGAGCACATATGTGACTGGACTGAAATAAAAGCTGCCTACAGGATGGATCCTAACAGGGTTCAAAGTCTTGTAGATGAAAAAAGAAATAAACAAAGGCAGCAGCAGTCCCTTCAGGGATGGCCTTTTATACACAGATGTCCACCGTTTCTGTGACTTTCCGATCACAGATTCCTGAGCCCCAGCAGTAGAAATTCAGATGGATCAAGCACTCGAGAGCTTGCGCGTTCCCCAGCTCCTAGAAGACGCTAATGCTGGTGGTTCCTGGACCACACCCAGAGGACGCAGCCGTGTGACGGGAGAACAGGGCAGGATGCTGAACATCTCCTTGTTCAGTATCCTGAACGGGGGAAAGTAGGTTTCTGGCTAGCCTGAAGCCGAGCTTGTATTCTAGTTAATTCTACCTCGGTCACTGGAAGTGAGATGAAACAACAAGAAAACCACCTCATACAACCAAAGGTGAGTATGAAATGTAAAAATGCAGATAGAAGTAGATCCCCAATGAGGGAAAAGCTGAAACCCAGCAAATGAGACCACAGTTCCTGACCTGAGGCCTTGTCCTGATTTCCTCATAACATCACCAAGGGTAGTGATGTTTTTCCATTCCTGGAAGGAAAACCAACAGTAAGGTAAGCTTCAGGGCGCAGCCTTGGGAGGACGGGGTCATAAGTGTGCACAAATGCACGCAGTGATTTAAACAAGTCTTTACTAAAACGACTAACCACAGGACGGCAACCAGTAGGATGATGCCAAGAGAACCATTCTTACCACAGAAGCATTGGTAAGAAGCATTCTTACCACAGCTAATGAAAACCCCGAGGATTTGGCCTGTGCAATCAGGGAACAAAGGGGGTTTTGAGCCGGCTCTCTGTGAAGGAGGTGGAAGTCATTCCAGCACTTCGAGCTTCCATTGAAAATAAACAAACAGCCCGAGCCTTCCCAAGGACCCAGGCTGCCCAGCGCCAGCCCGGGAGCGCACGTGGGCCGCCGGGCCAGCACACTGCGATTCATATGTGTAATCCAATTTGGATGGGGAAGGCGCAGGAAAATAAATTGATTATCTTGAAACTGCAAGAGCAAAATTTGTCGGGACAAAAGGTAATGAAATAATAAAGAGGAAGTACCTGAGTAGGTCATCTGAGGGGATGTTTCTCACGAACCGTTGCCAAGCCAGTGTGCTTTCTGGACTCATGTGAGGAACCTGTGGCTGATGAAGTGGCAGAAATCATATGCCAACCTGCGGGTAGAGGTTTGCTGGGTTTCTTCCCCTTTTCTGTGCGTGTGCGCGCGTGTGTGTGTGTGTGTGTGTGTGTGTGTCTGTGTGTGTGTGTGTGTGTGTGTCTATATAAGCAGTCAACCAAAACAACACTTGAGAGATTACATGACAGAGAGTTGGTTATCTCAACTCAGTGTATAACTTATGAGGAAAAAAAGTAGATAGTTCATGAAAAACAAGCATCTTCCCCAAATCGAAGGGTCAGACACAAGCGTGCATTATCCTGAAAACACTGGCCTTCTGTCTTAGGTCTCGCTCACCCTCTTTCCCCAGCGGCTGGATTCGACTCTGCCTTTCCACGGCAACAACGGCAACCATTGACCAAGCAAGGGGCGAGCACCGCAGGCAGGGGCTGCGCAGTCTGGAACGGGCATGCCAGCCTGGGACGGGGCTTGGCACCCTACTTTAAAAATGAAGAAACTCAGGATCATAATCTACGTGACTTGCCTAACACCAGCTTGCTTCCAAATGGGGAGTCAGGATTTGAACCTAAGTCCTTCCAGGGTTTGTTTCATTACACCACGCTGCCTCTGAAAGAACCTAAACATGGCCTCTGGAGTCCACACAGACTTCCAAGAAGTGGGCAGCT